TTTACCATCACCTTCTAAGTATCACTCAGTAATATCACTTAAATACAGATAGGCCTCTATCCACAATTTCAATTTGGAATTTAGATTGTAAATTGTTGCAAGTGTTAAGCTTTCTCAGACATGATTATTCAACAGACAAAGAGAAAACTGCCTGCCAAAGGGGGATAGACAGCTGCTTCCATATGCAGAAGGGGACTGAAGCACTGGGCTGGAGGAAATTTTGTCTCCAGTTTCTTTTCTCCCTTCCAGAGCTGCAATTTTCTTCTTGCCTGCCAGAGAGACTCCAACCCACACAAGCGAAGGGTCAGGCAGGCAGGCCTTTTACTCAAGCACAGTGGCTGAAATTAAACCTGTCTCAAAATCCAACCATGGATTTCAAGACAGACTTTTTCAGCCAGGAACCAGATAGCAGTTTATGGTCTCACCTGTGGGTTTTTCCTGTTGACTTTCTGGGAAACCAGGTAGGGAAGATTGCAAAAGGCTTTTGGCAACCTGCTATAAGTGTGAGTGGGTTGACAAAGGCCATATCGCAATCACATAACAAACTGCTGCAACAGCTGTAAGTTCAGGCACAGATCATATGTCCCTTCATTTTGAACTGTGACTGAACAAATGGTTGTTAAATGAGGACTACCTGCAATTTTTTTCTAAGTGTCCAGATGCTAACTAAAAACATTTAAATAATTCTATTTTTCCAACCCAAGATAAGAGATAGCAATATTTATAATCATAGTTAAAATGAGATGTTTACTGTAGCAAATTGTAATTATAACTAAATAAATCATAACCTAGGGTTTAGCGTTACTGATCCCAAAGTGGGATTGTTATGATATTTACTAGAATCCAATTGGACAAAAAAGTTTTCATTTATGTAATTAGGGTATTATTAATTACTGCATTTGGGCAGGAGCTTTTAGTCACAGCTAATGAAATAAAATCTCTGAACAGCTAAGAATTAATTCAGCTGATAACATATTTCTGAAGGTTGAAACTTCTTTCAAACTGCTGTATAAGTTATACCATTAATATTATCACTCTAACCTTTGAAAATAAAGTAATTTCGGTTTAAATTAATTTGGCTAGGATTCAATAGAATATGTTGCACAACCATTTCTTCTTGGGTAAGACCTAAGTGACTGTAATTACATTGTTCAGTTTCTGGCTAATTACTGATAAAGTCTGAGAAAATATTGGTCTAAAAGTTTATTAGCCAGACAAAGTTATTGGAAACTTCCCTATATTAAACATATTATAATGCACAGCAGTAAAGTTTCAGTAAATGTTCTTAAGTTCAGGTGTCCAGGAAAAGCAAAAAGAGCCCTAAGCTCTTTCAGAAACAGTCCTGAATATGAAAGTTTATTCTTGGCCAAAATGGGGATTTCATCAGAGACAGTTTTTTTATGACAAGTATGCTTTTTATTCAGATAACTGTTCATTGAAAATGACATTTCAATTTGCTAGATGTGACTCAGAAAGCCTTGTCACTGGGCCAGCTTCTGAAAGAAATAATCCTATCCTGGGCCTAGTTCTTCACACAATATAAATTGTTGTACTAAAAGACCACGGAAAGACTATTTTCCTACAATTCAGACTCAGTTCTTTTTCAACTAGCTGTACAATTATATATAAAAAGGAAAGGCTGGTATTTCTGGCCCATTATAATTCTAAGGGAAGCTGTTCCTTTTTAAAGAACTAAAGCTACATTTGCATGAATTCTTGTATACCTCTTTCAGAACATTAAAAGAACATATAAAAACCTCATGTTAATCGGGAATAGCTATCCATTAAGCCTCATATCGGTTAAATCATAATTTATATATAGGCCATCAGTGTTATGTCACTTTATAATTATGTAAACAATTTAAGTTCATCCAATTGTCAGTTGTGATGTTATGATAAAAATTGTCATGAATCATCCAGATTAATTTGACTAAAGCACACGGGTGTATGGGGTACCTGGAAATTTTGCTGCTTGTTTCTGAAGTCTTGTTTCTGTCAAATAGAAAGTTCAATGGATTTAGGAAAATGATAGCATGATACCTGATATTGTGAGCTATTAATGGGAATTCCTGGAGCTGGTTAGTTTGAGGTTATAGCAATAGCAATAGCATTTAAACTTATATACCGCTTTACAGTACTTTACAGCACTCTCTAAGAGGTTTACAGAGTCAGCAAGTTACCTCCAACAATCTGGGTCCTCATTTTACCAACTTTGTGTCAACCTTGAGCCTGGTGAGATTTGAACTGCCAAATTACAGGCAGCCGGCAGGCAGCAGAAGTAGCCTGCAGTACTGCACTTTAACCACTGCGCCACCACAACTTACCAGTCATCTGAAAGGTTTGGCCTTAAGCCATACAATATCTTTGGAATGTAAAACATGCAGAAGATCTTTGGTACAGCATTAATGCATCTTCAGTTAGAATTAGAAAATATTTATCTGATTAAACTAGTCTGTGACCATAATAAGATAATCTGAATGTATCTGAACTCAGGACAACCTCTATTACAGTGAACCAGAAAGGTAAAGGATCCAAGTTGTAAAGTTAGTTTTCTAATTTTCTATTCCACAGCGAATACCCTATTGAAACATCTATTTTCAAAGGAAAAGAAAGGTGGCCACCTGCAGCAATTGAGTGTATATGCATTCCCCTACTTTCCCCTGAATAAAAATTCACAGCTTTAAGGGCAAAGAACTGTTTCATTTTCCCTGTAGTCATATATCTGACAGCTCTGCGCAAATAAAAGGATAAATTATGGCTGCATAAATTGGGAAATTTGAGGAAAGCAAATTTAAAGGTCATATTTGTTCCTGGTATCACATTTAAACTTCTTTGGATTCTTAACTGGATTTAAAATAATGCAACCTCTAAACATACTCACAAATAAAAGTCAAAGCAAGACAATATATAAATATGCATGAAATTATTGAGACAGCCAAAAATATTAAGCATGGCAGGCCACATAATATGTATCATGCACATAAGTATTTTGCCTTTTCTTACTCTGAAGTAAGAATTAAATTAAAGATTACAGCCTGATTAATTTAACAAGGGTGGGACTTTTGGGCTGGGTGTGTTATATTTTGTTTACTATCCCTGTATTTGGTCTAAAAAATTATGTCATGATATAATGAAAGCAGGGATATAAAAATTGCAGCCCAGTATTGGGGAAGAATTGTTAAGAACCCCAAACTCTATCAGTTTACAGATACCAATAATGCCTCGGCATCATATTTCTAGCTTTTAAAATTATACTTTATCTGTCTTGCCATAATTAGAACTAGTGCTGTTTCTTTCACCAAAAGCTAAGAGAAATTTGTGTGCTTGGAAGTTTTGTAGTTATGGAAATGACCAATATGATGTTCATTTTAAACAAATATGAAATATTGATACTAGGTGATGAGGTTTCATAGAGGGAAAGGGGGAAGAGGCACATTTTTTACAAACTCCATGGATGAAATTTATGACATCCAATCATTTTCTATCTTGGACATCCAGTGGCTCATCCCTATCATTTATACCAGGCTTGTCCAACCCGTGGCCCACGGGCCGCATGCGGCCCAGGTCGCCTCATAATGTGGCCCAACGCCCACCCCAACCTTCATGAAAGATCCAGCGAGGAGGAGGAGGAGAGGCAGGCGCGAGGCGGGGCGAGGCGAGCAACAGAAAAGGCGGGCAGCCGCAACCCAAAAGTCCCGCCCCGCCACCTGCTGTTGCCGCCGCCGCCGCCACCACTGCTGCATTTGCAGGAGAGGTAGGCGCGAGGCGAGGCGAGCAACAGAAAAGGCGGGCAGCCGCAGCCCAAAAGTCCCGCCCCACCACCTCCTGCTGTTGCCGCCACCGCTGCTGCTTCTGCCCCCGCCGCCGCTGCTGCTTCTGCCCCCCCCGCCGCTGCCACTGCTGCTTCTGCTGCTGCCGCTGCCGCTGCTTCTGCCCCCGCCGCCCCCGCCGCTGCTGCTTCTGCCCCCGCCACCGCTGCATTTGCAGGAGGAGAGGTAGGCGCGAGGCGGGCGAGCTTTCCCCCCCCCTCCCCCCACCCCGCAAAATTTGGCCGGAAAATTATAAAATAAAAAATAATTTTTTTAAATAAATAATTAATAATAAATAATAATTTTATTTTATTTTATTATTTTATTAATTTAATTTAATTTAATTTAATTTAATTTAATTTAATTATTTAA